TGACGTCAGTAATCCAAAAATGATTTAAAAAATTCAGTGAAATGTGCTTAGAGAAGTATGGGTATCAAATTAAAGAGGAAATCCTGTAGAATTTAAGCAGATTAATTTTTTTGGTGTAGAAGGACTGGTAAGTATTTAAAATGTCCTTTTAAAATTTTATCCTGGAAATTTTGCAATATTTGTTTTTGAAAAAATTATATGTTAAGGACTTATATAAACTCGATAACAACCTCGAATATCGTCCCTTTAACTTTATTAGCTTAAAAAATTGCCTATTCATCCTTGTGAATCCAAAAAAATTTTTTATTTTCTATTTTTAAAGAAATTTCCTCTTTCAATTGGTACACATATTCTTATTCTACATTGCATTGAATTTTTTAAATAATTTTTTGAAATTAATCATATCTTTGAAATTACAAAGTCCTTTAAAATAAATCCCGACGTCAGAGAGAGAAAATGAAAACGGCACCTTAAATAAAAAGCTATGTTCGAAACCTATTTATTTATTATTTATTTTATGGTAGGAGAGCTTCGCAAACGATATAGAAGCAATTTTTTCGATGTAAGTTGTTGAAAAGTAATGAATATCTAGATCCCGGGACTAATACCGGGATTCCGGGATTGTGAAAATGACATCCCGGAAACCCCGGGATCGTAAAAGCGAAAAGAATTAACTTCCCTAGTGAGTATGTGTTACCTAAGCTTAGCAACAACTTACCCTAATTATTCGAAAAACCCCGCTGAACTGTTTTTGAAATAATTTACCAACTTTGGTGGATACATATATGACGTGGTCCAAAGTTATACCGTAATATACATAAAAAATATATATATATCCCGACGAATTGATAACCGTCTCCTTTGTTTCAAGTCGGTTATAAACAAGACCGACTTCAATTCTCATATAAAAATTTAGGTGTACCGTTAATCTCTTTGGTCCAATTATCGGTTCTAAACAAAATTTGTATAGGGCAAAATTTAAAAAAATCCTGAAAATATTTACTAAAAATTTTACCTTTTCCAAGGCATATTAAACAGGTAGTACCAGTAGAGCAGGTTTGGTTTTTTTATTTTTTTTTTTTAATTATTTGGTCTCGCAACTGTCAAATATTGTTAATTTTTTTATAACAATTCTTAATTCGCAAAATGTATTTGGAACATTGGCTTAACTCAGGGTTCCGTAGGACATCTCAATGTTAAATTCGCCAGTTGCTAGCATGAAGAGAATTAACGCGTACCAGCCATGGTTCTAAATTCTCTAGAAACGGAGATATTACGGCAGTAGTGCGTTTCCCCACAGGGTACCCTGCAAAAACTTGAGAACCAGGTGATCTAATGAGACATGGTTTTAAAGTATGTATGTGCAAAAGGGCCAGGTTGCATACTTGTGACATGTTATGCTGACCTGGACCAAGTCAAACGTAAAAAATTCGTATATGTATAGTAAGTGTTGAACATAGGGCTGATGATTTCACCCGGGTAATGAGCTACCCGGGTACCCGG